AAATTCCATGATTCTATGATGATTCTACAGGAGTCAAATCAGGTTTCTCTGCCCTTTTAGCTCCTCTCAACTCTACATAGAAGCTGGGCTGGTATTGGGCTTGAACTTAGAAAAACGTAACTTTAAATAAAGTAAAAAAAATTTACTCTCTTCTCCTGTCTCCTTTGCTGGAAAGAAAACATTCCTAGTCATTCAGTTTCTAAATGTTTACCCTCTAAGACAGTAATTTCAACCAAAAAAACTAAAAAGTGCTTTCCCTCCAAGGCTTATCCCAGTCAGCGGTTTGTTAAAATCCAGCAGAGAATGCAATGATCGTAATTACATCAAAAGAACAACTTTTTAAACACAGACATTCCTGGCCACAATTGAACAGGAACATGTCCTATCCAAATTTAAGACACTAATACAAAAGCCACCAAACTTATTTCCAAGCAAAATCACCACATTTCTGAATTTTGCAGTGGGTTTTGAAACACAGATTCTTAAAATACAGTCTGATTTGCTCTCATTTTGTGAAGTAAATAAAGAGCTGGTCATAAAAATTTTGGTAGCTTAGCAACAGCACATTGCTCCATCCATGCACTTGACATTCCAACTTGCAGCATTCAATCAGGCCGATTATTTTTAACAGGAAGCGTACCGGAACACATCAGCACAGACCAGTACCTTTCGTAACTTCAATTAAATCACATGTTATAGATGTGGAGCTATTTTCCTCCACTGTTTCCCATTAAGTCTTCAGTCAAGAGACAAAACAGCTCAAATAGCTGCACTGCATAGCAGCGTGACGTGGTCTGTCCCATCATTCTGTTCTCCAACTTCCCAATTAACTTTTTACTAATTTTTTTTTAACTAGGACTTCTTCGAAAAGAGGAATGGAAATATGCATGGCACTGAGATACCAAAAATGTACCTAAAAAGTATGTTCTGAAAGACAAAACACGTCTCACCACAACAAATCTGCAATTTATAATGTAGATGTTGATTTTCCTCCACTCTTCCTTCATGTCTGCCCAGTAACTCAAGACACACTGACTGCTCAGTGCTGGATTGGGGCAGCACTGAAAATCAAGTGGCACCCAGAAACGATCTCAAACTTTTTCCCTTCAAAACAAATGCTGTTCTTAAAAGTTTTCTTTAATGAAAGCACAGGTTTCCATTAGCTACACCTTCACATTGTTTCAAAAGATCATGTCTAGTTCTCAAGCACAGGAAAGCAGCAGTATTTATCCCATGAGGGCAGATCAAGCTAAAAGAGCAAATTTCTACCATATCCACCTTCAAACAGGGAATGTATTGATGAGTAGGAAAAAAGTAAGCTTTATAGAAACTCTTTGAAAAAAGAAAAATCCACAAATCTTCACAGAGTAAATTAACTGGTGTCTCAATTTTTTTGTATCATGGAAACAAAAGAATTCCTCTATCCTTTCAAAGTGTTTTTCATTGCTAAAAATTGGAAAAACCCACTCCTGACAGTAAGACAAAGGTTTTCTCCCTCTCTTCTTTTTCCTGCTAGACAGACAGGACAACTGCAGCACTATGATAAAATTTCTCTTCAGACAAGCTTCTCCTTAGAGTATGTTCCAAGTCATCTTTGAATCCTCCTTAGACCAACAAATTCCCTGGAAATTTCCACAACATGATGTTTCATTTGAACACCTCCAACCACATCCAGGTCATACATGTGGCACTTTGCAGAACAAAGCTTGCAAAACCCATTTATTTTATTGCTCAAAATCTTCTGTCACCTCAGACGCTTAAAACTGCACAAGTAGATCCAACCTCAACTGGGGGACACAGCAGTGACTGCATTCATTTTCCTCACCGTTTCCAAGTAGCCACTTACATCTTAGGATCCCTTCTTGGTTTTGGTAATGGAAACTGCCTTTCACATACATTCTCAGGTCATTTCAACATACCAATGAATACCCATCCATGGTAGGAGAAAGTGTTGCAAGCGTTTGATAACTCCACATACACTGACTTCAGTTTTGGTGGAAGCTTTGCAGAACAAGCTTCAGATCAAACTTGTCTCACTTCTTGAACAATGCAGCTAATAAATAATCTCTCCATCATTCACCCTAAACAACAGACTGAATACAAACTGCTAATCAATAAATGAACTTAATTAACAACTTCAGATCTTGATAATTTGGCAGTCTAAAAGGACAGGTATGCTAACAGATCTTGTAATATTTTAAGTGCATATTATAAATCAATAAATATCCTGTAACTGCAGCTCTTCACCAGTGAAGAACCTTTCCCTGGAGAAGGTATGCTGTTCCCGAGAGAAAACTGGAATCAATGTTATTTGAAGTGTTTTCTCTAGACACTAGCTAGTCCCAGGGCATTCTTCTAAACCACTCTGCAACTAAAACTTCAGCTCTTTTCTTGACGTTTCTACAAAATACAATTCCTCAAAAGAGGCCTTAATGGGACTACAGGTTCCAGACACCAAACTACATGCCAGCCCTAAGGTACTTCTTGCCACTTTCCACCACCAGTTCCTGAAGAACATCTTGAGACTGGCTGAAACGAAACACAGAGCTAAGTTGGCTCTGCACAGAGTAGGATGGCTGCAGTCCACAACACAAAATCTTTCACGTTTTTCCTCTTTAAATTACATGTTCTTATGCTCATCTACTATGCTACAATTCCACATATCCACTTCTTTTCCCAGATCAGAAGCTGATGGTTACTTATGTGAAACGCAGGGGGAAAAAGGATTTTGGCAACAGCATACAACAAAAGGAGGACATGAAACTGTTGGAGCAAGCTGGACGAGATGATCTGTAAGGTCCATTCCAACCCCTGAATTCTACGATTCTGTGTAGTTAACCTTAAATGACCACCTTTGTATTTATTATGTGTGCATAACCACACACAAGCTAGTAAGGGTAGTCTGTATTCAAATTGTTTGGTGAGGTCAAGGAGAACTCAGAACAACCCACACCAAAACCACACTACTGCAAACACTATCTAAAACACCTACAAGTACTCAGAAGCCTATCAGTGAAGACAGTCAGAATGCCAAACCCTTTAAAAACACAACAGCTTGAGCAGATAATTCTTGATACTATGAAAGGAGACCACAACTATCAAAACAATGAGGGGGGAAATTCAAAGCTGTTTCAGAAATACTATAGTCCTCTGCAAGCAAGAACTTTATATAAGATATAGTACACATCCTGTGTATCCACAGACTATAAATAATGGAATATTAGGTAACTTATGAAGGCATCTTCTATAATGTTACCTCTATGCTTTCAGAAACATAACCTTTCTACTCTGCTAGTGGTGTTAATGCGCCATTCTCCAAGCTCAGTCTAGGAATACAAGCAATTCCATTCCAGACCACTGCACCTCCTCCCTACCTGTACATGAAAAATGCTGTGACTGCAACTACTACTTCTAGACAATGCTGAACTTAGGCTTGGTGCAGCTAGACATGAGCCAAAGCTCTTCCCAGAAACATTTCTCTGGCATTCTCTCCTAGACATTCTTCAGCCTCTCTGAAAGAAGAGATCGTTCTGAACTATCAACATCAAAAGTAAGAAAACAGACCAGAAGGATGGAGGTGGGGAAAAAAAGACAAAAGGTGTCAAAATTATCAAAAGCATTCAAAATAAAAGCAAATGAGGCTTCCTTCTTCCTGAACCTCATATACCTAAATGCAAATACTGCAATTCAATTGCTGAAACGAGACTAGCTTCCTTACGTATCAAACGAACAGGACACAGAACAGCAGGTGTAATTGTTGAGAATCAAGACATGTGCCTTAATTGTTTTCCATTTTTATCTTGTTCTTTTGACAGCTAAGCTCTGAAAACAACGTCTGAAGTTATTTTTATTGTAATTGCATCTGTCCTCCCTTGCAAGGTTCTGCAATTTTAGTAAAGTACAATAATGAAATAACAGCTCCCATGGTTGAAAAGGCCAAGCTGTCTGGAGCTTTCTATTTACCTACAAGAAGATATTGCAATCACTTGTAGGTCCCCTGAAAAGCTGTTTGCTTAATAACCATTGAAATTGTTATTTTTAAAAGATACTTAACAGCCTTGGAGACAAGCAGTAAAGCTGGTGGAGTGCACTAAGGAAGGCCACTTGTCAGTATATGCTCCACTGCGAACTCTCAGAAGGGTCTAAGTACCTAAGTTGAGTATCAACACCAGTTTGAAGGCCCCAGAGAAACAGAAAAGGAAAAATCCTTTCCCCTATTGTTCACCTATCTCACTCTTTTTTGACAGTAGATGGAACAGCTCACCATGAGCTGCAGTGTAAGCTCAGCCAGGAAAGCCAATCTCTTGTCAGTATATGCTCCACTGCGAACTCTCAGAAGGGTCTAAGTACCTAAGTTGAGTATCAACACCAGTTTGAAGGCCCCAGAGAAACAGAAAAGGAAAAATCCTTTCCCCTATTGTTCACCTATCTCACTCTTTTTTGACAGTAGATGGAACAGCTCACCATGAGCTGCAGTGTAAGCTCAGCCAGGAAAGCCAATCTAATCCCGCATCAAAAGAAAAGGAGTGTGGGCAGCAGGTCAAAAGAGGT